ACAGTTGACCATAATATTCTTTTAGAAAGACTTGAATATTTTGTTGGAATTAAAGGAACAGCTCTAGACAGCTCTAAATCTTTCCGATTTCAATTTCTTGACGTTGATAAATAATCTTCATGCTCCATGTTACCCGGATGATTCGGGATCTTTTAACGATATTCACAGGAAAACCGAGGATCTTGTTCCATTTAAGTTATTTGTCTTCATGAAGCAAAGATTGAAGCGACACATTGAGCTGGAGGGGACCAGATGCAGTCAGGCCTCCTTAAAATATACCAGAATCCTCCTTTAATACAGCACCAAGTCATACCCCTGAGCATGACTGTTCACCTACCGTGCACAGCAGTACATCGTGTTGATGCTCCCAGAATCCTCTCTGTTCCTGAAGCCTAATGGTACCAATTCCCAAAGAACCCAAAGTTCCTGCTTCTGACGTCCTGAACTGAACGTCACCCTTAAAGTAGACATTCTGAGTTTGTCCAGCAGGTGGCAGCACTTCCTTCCAGCAGGTTTAAACAGTGGCTCAGGCCTTATCTGAGTCTGAACTTTAACCAAAACCAGGCTGGTCCTGCCGAGCAACCTCTGACCCAGTGAACCAACGTCCTTCTAGCCGTCAGACCAGATGAGGCGCGCTCATGTTTTCCATGAACACCTGGATATTAAAGCTCATTGAAACTTTCCTCACTTTGTTTGGAAGAACCTGCAGGGCCAAAGATAAACACGGGAGCTTTCCACGGAAGCGCCTGCAGTCCATGTGGAAATGATGGGGTGTTTGTTGTGGTCTTTGATGATGTCACGCTAGGTGGTATAAATCATTATTAGCTCTGAGGGTGGAGTTAACAGGACAAACAGAATAAGTCAATATTTTCAAGTACATCTGTGGCTCTTTAACGGGGGAGTTAATGAGTGAAAGTTTCAGTATTTTAGGATGAAGCACCCTCCAAGTGCTCAGGGAGGTCTGTAATGAACCAGGATGTGGTTTTAATGAGGAAACTCCTCTGACTGTCCCAGATGTTTGTCTTTGTTGCTTCCTTTGTTCTCCTCAGCTGTTTGTTTCCCAGCTTTCCTTGCTGCCTTGTTCATCGGTTCTCAGAGCTCCTTTAATGTGGTTCTGCTCAAAGTTAACCCTGAGAGAAGACAAATGAACAACAAGAAATGGATTTAGTGTCAAAAATAAAGTATTTAGGTCAAAGTTTTAGGTTCAAAAGTTTCAATAAACCTCAGACCTAAATGGCGTGGTTAAAAATACCGTTATGTAACTTCCCACAAGTGAAAGATGGAATCCCATCAGCAGGGATTCACATGCTGGTCATGTGTGGTTGGGCTACAGCAGCATAACTATAGAGATAGAATGAAGCAGAATGATGAAAAAGGGGTCC